TAAGCCCCTACCAGGTTTGTAAACCCTGTCAACCGATACTCCACTACTGAGAAGTACCAGAACCCTTCTTCTTCCGCAGTTTGGTTTCCCTGTAAACAAGTATCTCTTGGTGTATGAGAGAGCTCTTCCGGTGTATCGTCTACCTCCCCTGTATGTGATTCTCTTCAACACACGGTAGACACTGTAACGTCCACGTACTTGGGTCAGGCTAATCACTCGTCGTTGTCGCGAAGAGTAGATTGTGATACCAATACGTACTCTATGCTGTGCTACAACAAAGCGCCGAACCATGTCTTTAACAAACAGGCGAATATGTCGAATATTGCGTCGGCCAGTTCCAGACGATACATCAATAAGGAATACCACATCGATTTTACGATTGCAAACTAAAATAAAAGTGATAAAAGAAAGAATAAGATCAATTAGCCAAACAAAAATCTAACATTCTTCATCCCATACATTTCCCTAATGACARTATGTTTCCACAAATAAGAATATATTATCATTACCTTTAGGGGGAGGAGGTGTGAGGAAACAAGACTTCATCCTTAATCTTATTTCACTTCTTGAAAGTGCTCTCCCAAATAAGGTGACACAAGCAATGCGTCCACGGAAATATCGACGATCACCAGGCTTAGCACCAATCACTACTGCACTTCCCGTAGCAAGACCGAAAGAAAATCGACCGATATTTTTTCGCAATATTGGACGAGAGTTCAGATATAAGATTGCCAACCCAGTTTTATGATCATAAGTAATGGCAATGTAGCTCCATCGTCCTCTTGGAATTCCTCTTTTTTTAAGGTATGGGCTACGTTTACGTCGGCGTCCTACAAATCGTGCAAACAATTCATCTGTCCTGGTCATCCAGATATGCAAGTCCCATCCTCTTGGATTGTAATGGAAGATTGGACCAGCTCTCTCTGGATAAATCCATGCAGTGAAGGTAATGGATGACTGAGTATCCAAACAACCACCGTTAGGGATATACACATAGCTATTTCGTCTACCACTGAAATATAATGCACTTTGTGGATGTCGATCGGGACCGTAAGTGTAACGAACCCCCTTGAATTGTACATTAGGATTCTTGTTTCGACTGGAGTCTCGTCTTCCTGTTTTTCTCGAAAACTTGTACCATGCAACTGCTCCTTTCTTGACAATGACTGCAAAAGATACGTAAAATATTACWTTRAAAGACCGTTTGAGATCTATGAACTGAAAGTCACAGACATTCGATGAAGCTAAGCCTTACAAAACATCAAAAAATCACATTTCTATCGACGAAGGACAGAAAGTTCGATTTTCAATACTCAAGTTGTTGATAGTTGCTGTACAGTTTTCATTATAGTTCTGAATAATASATGACCTACATAATTGTGCAAAACAAACCTTTAGGTGAAAAACAGATTTTCTTGGTGAGACGATCTGTGATTCTTATCATTGATTGGTAACTTGTGGATATGACATGGTATCTTGACGTCGAAATTTGATACATTTGACGTACACCTCGTTTTGAAGTTAGCAAAACAAATATTTCAACACCCATTTTCTTCAAGCCATTAGCAGGTCTCCAGACTTTGTCGACAGACACACCGCTATTTATWAYCACCAGTACTCTCTTGCGGCCGCACTTAGGTCTTCCAACAAACAAGTACTTCTTAACATATCGGAGTGCACGTCCTATGTATCTTCGTCCTCTGATAAGTCTGATTCTTCCGATGATTCTGTTAACAGAGCCGCGACTTCTTGCGTTCACRAAGCCGATGATACGTCTTTGATGTGAAGAGAACAGTACAATACCAATGCGAGTGTTTTGTCTAGACACGACGAAACTACGGACAACTCGTTTGACAAACGTTTGGATGTGACGGACGTTTACACGCGACGTTACATCGATAAGAAGACCAAGGTCGATACGACGCTTGCAAACTGGGAATAGAAATACTACGTTATAATCATGTAGTACCTTTTCATTATTTATTATGTAATGCTTTTTTTATTATTATTTTTACTTCTTGGTTCTGGTTCATTACTAGGATTAACTAGTTAAAAATATTAAACTGAGAAATGGTACCATGATCTTATTTTTTTCTTGGAGAAATCTACAATTCATACCTGGAGGAGGAGGCAGTGGAGGTTTAGGTGTAGAAGGCCTGATTGCTGGAAGTCAAGAAAACAACAAATGGAAATAAGTCCGAGTGATTTCATAAACATTTTAAAATCTTTTCATACTTACTCGGTACAACACTACAAATACGACGTTGTAAGCCGGCCAATTTGGTTGGCAGCAGTCGGAAAGACACYGTAATGATATGACTGCCATCGCTTGCTATTTGTTGAAGTTGACTTTTTCTATAGCGTCGGCCGATTGCCATGGCAAACACCTCTACGCCAGCATATCTAAGATTTCTGGCGTGTCCCTTAACACTATCTTGAGAGATGCCATCRGTCATGAGAAGCAATACCCTCTTTCGTCCATTTGAAGCACGACCGGGGAAAAGGTTTCTGTGAACTTGGCGTAAGGCTTGACCAGTTCTGGTTCCACCTCCTGGGAGACGCATATTATTGATGGCTCTCTTCACATTATACCGCGACGAACCACGGTTAAACCTCAACACAAAGTATGTTCTTGTGTTGTATATAGCAATTCCAAC